GCGAAACAGTGGCTGGTCTTGTACCCTCTTCAGCAAGTACAGAGCTGCTGGCTCGGTCTATGGGGGACAGACAAGGCCAGGCCTTGGGAAATCTGGGTTACACTATCCTCTAGGGAGAGGGGACATCTTCAGCAGAGTGTCCTCTCTCAGCAGCAGCTCAACATCCCAGGACTATGAGATGCAATCCAGTTGTCACAGCGAGTTAGGCTGCAAAGAGGATAGCCCAGAGGGGAGAACTCACTACAGGGCAGGCCTGTGGGACTTCATATTCACAGGCCCCCCGACTCAGTGCCTTCTCCTCTAGCCACCAGCTTCCAGTTCCCCTACTCTTCATGCACCCCATGCCAACAATCTGGCAGTCAGTGCAGCCGGTCAGCAACTACTGCACCTGGCTGCATCACCTCCTTCCTCTCCTCTCCCCCAGCAGGAGCATCAGGACAGACACCTCTACAGCTGCCAGACTCCAGCCGCTGCTCCAGCTTCTAACAATAGCTCCCACTCGGGGCTGGGTCAACTCCCCAGCCAGGATCCAGCTTCCCCAGGCCTCAGAAAGGAGGGTATTTCCATCCCAACCTCAGGGGCTCAGAAAGCAGAAGCCAAAGGACAAACAAGCACCTGTTCAGACAGGTCTGTCACTGAGGGCAGACTGGCTGGAGCAGGCTTTCTGCTTTTAGGGGAGCCAGTTCTCCTTTAAAGAAAGCGAGTGCAGTTTATTATTTCCAGAGTCCTTAAGACGGGGCAATGACCTTTGGCAGAGAGCATGGGGAGGGCATGGTGAGCTATGAAGCCAAACATGGGCCTGTGCCCCACAACAGAGAAGGAAATGAGGGTCTCCTGAAGCAGTGTGCTGGCCACCACGCCCTTTCAGACTGCTGCAAGCCACCTGTCTCACTGCAAGCTCCCAGCACCAAGGAGCCCAACACTGGTCTCGGAATAGCTCTCTTAAGCATAATACCAGCACCATGGCATTATATAATTCTACTCTGTTCGGGGCAAAAATCAGATCCCCAACTCACTCTACTAACTGAGCAATTTGATGGTTAAAATTTGTGCACAGAGGCTGGGGTTTGGCTCAGTGGTAGAGCATTTGCCTAGCATGCACAAGGCCCTGGGTTCAATCTCTGGCACTGCAAAATAAATAAAAACGAATAAACAAATAAAAATCTGCGTGCATGTTTTTCAGGCCAGCCTCAGAGCCACGGAAATTTTGGAAAGGGAGAGACACGAAAAGCCCATTGAGGCTGACCACATTTCCTAACAACAGTGGGCCCTCCCAGCTCGGTCCTCTCTCCTGCACAGCATCCTCGCCTTCTAGGACCTCAAGGTTCAGGGATGCCCTTGGAAGGCTCAGGAAGGCAAGGGTCTAACAGTCTATGCTCCGGAGGCTGCACCTGCCTGGCCCTCCACAGGAGCTCTGCTATTCACTAGCCTCCCAGCCAGGTTCTTGCCCTGGGAGCACCAGGTGTAGGTCTTCACTTTTCTCTGAAGCATTGGTTGAACCGGTTAAACCAGTCTTGCCTTTCCTCAGTTCTTTAAAAATCTGGCAACTGGCTACTGGAGGCCTTCCAAGCCCCTACTCAGGCCAACCCTCATAATAAGAAAAACACTATTTTCTATCTGCCTCATTGAGGAGACTGCTACTTTTTTTCTTTGGTGGTTAACTAAATTTCATCTTATATAACCATTATAAATTTTCTAAAAATTTCCCCAGTTCGTTCCAGCAACTGTGGAAGTTGTGTGCAAGTGGATAGTTGTGTGTGTGTAGACAGGATGTCTCCAGGGCAGTGACCAGGAATTCCAAGGATTCTTCCTAAGAAAAGAGCACCTCTTGGGCCAGGGATGTAACTCAGTGGTGCCACACCTGCCTGGCAAGTGCAAGATCCCGAGTTCATTCCCTGTACCAGAAGAAAAGAGCACATCTTCATCATCTAAGAAAGCTTCATCTTGCCCCTGTTCCAAAAAAGATTACAAGAGCCCACACGTTTGAGACAAGTTTCCTCACATTTTTTTTAGTGGAAAAGGTAATGTGAAGCAGGTGAGATTGGGATGATGAGAAATTGTGGGTAGAACATGTTACTGGCAAAACCAAAATAAACTCAGGGCTCTCAGTCTGGAAGCTTCAGCCTGTGGTCCTGACAGGCTTGCACTTTATCTGAACTGGAACAAGAATCTTTCCTGCCCAGGAGATTCCACTCCACACACAAACCCATGTAGGATATGCTGTCCCCTTACCTGAAAGTCTTAAGCATCTTCAGAAAAGACAGTGACTGAGTATGGGGAGTCTGCCAGCAAAGCCTCCTCATGTACAGAGGATACAAATTGCCACTCAGAGGCCTAGAAACAACTGGCCTCTGCCTCTGGTAAAGGTGGGCCTTTTTTTCTTTTGGTACCAGGGATTGAACTCAGGACCTTTCGCTTGCGAGGCAGGCAGCGGAACCACTGAGCTAAATCACCTGCCCAGCTCTGCCTTTTGTAAGAGCCTGCCTGCAAGTTTAAAGATGCTAGCTTACACACATACACACACACACACACCTGGCAGAGGTGACCTCTTAAGTACAGGATGAGGGAGAAATGAGAAGTAGCACAAGAACAGCAGTGCTGTGTCTCCAGCTGCCAACCTGGCTTTTCTTTACAGGCCCTTCCCCATGCTGCTGGTGTGGAGGAGACAGATCAGCAGCATCAGACAGGAAGACCTGGGGACACTTGGGGATGTCACGGGCAGGCTGGGAGAGGAGCTGGAGATTCTCACCTTCCCCATTCTTCATGGCGGGGTCGGCGGGGGGGGTGACTCCTGACTCAGAGAGACCCCAAGAGTACTCTGCCCTCCACAGCTGCTCTTGTCAACTTTTCCCCGATAACTCCCAGTGGCAAGTTCTCTCAGGCCAAGCCCCCTCTGAGGCATCTTTGTGTTGTATGACAGCAAAGTACTGTCTACACAGCGCTCTCCCAACAGCCCACAGGACAAAAAGGTCTTCATGAGGTCTTGACACATGTGGGATAGAAGTGAATACGGCATTTGAGGCCGTAGTTGGGGAGGGCCGTGAGACACAGGGAGGATGACTTTCCCTCCACGGTCCCAGGCAGAGATGGCTAATGGGGACAAAGCTAAGCTTGACTACAGGAAGCATGGAGCACATGTGACAACAGATCCAGGAGCATGGTGGCTGTCGGTCCCTTGGGGGCTGTTCATTTGGAAGGAAAGAGGCTTCTGGACACCAAGCAAGATATAAAAGGGAAGGAAACACTGGGGGAAGAGATAAGCCATAACCTGCCTTGTTGTTGGTCCTCCAACCTGAGCAGAGGTTATTAGACTGCAGGTAGCTGAGACAGGTGGGTAATAATACCTGCCCTCAAACGGAAGCTTTTGGCCAAGTAAGAGATGCAAGTAAGAGATATAAGAGTAGGGGTTGAGCAGCCCGAATCTGAAAAATCTAAAATGCTTTGAAATCTCAATTTTAATTTTTCTTTTGGGCGGACACTGAATCCACTAGCACTAGTTTGTCTTGCACAATGCTAGGCAAGCACTCTACCATCGATCTAAACTCTCAGCCCCTGAAACTTTTTGGGTGGTGATATAGCACTCACAGAAGTTCCAGATTTTCAAATTAAAAATGCTCAACTGGTAACATCTAGGCAAGTGTCCCCAAATCTAAAACACTTCTAGTCAAAAGCATTTCAGATAAAGGATTCTCAACTTGTGGTAAAATGTGCTTTTAGGAGAACAGAGTAGATCCGATTCGTAAAATTTAAACCCCAGGATCACTTCAGAATAATGAGCCCTCACTCGGCTGATGCTGGCGTGTGTGGGAAGGTCACATTTGTGTGAGGAGAGTGGCCCAGGAAACACTCACTGTCAGGATAAATGGGTCCTCAGACTCAGAAACCCTAGAACTCTTTTCCGAGCCCCTGCTCTGACTGAAATCCAAGAAGCTGGACCCGCTAGGGGGCTGGAGAGAGGCCCTTGGATCTACTACCTGTCATCATAAAGGACAAGGTTCTCTGATGAGTGGGGTCTGAAGATCAGACTAAACACAGGAATGGAAAACCAGAGAGCCCCCAGCAGCACAGGCTGAGCTGCCCTGTCACTCTATCTGGAAAACCACCAATGCAGGACTACAGATGGCCTCACCTCTTCCAACCTCCTAAGTGCTGCCCACGTGCATACCCTGTGATATCTTAGTTTAGAGAATCCCATGAACCAGAGATTGCTGTCTCCATTTGGGGGCCCAGAAAACTGAGGCTGTACTAAACTGGGCAACTTGTCTTGAGATTACAGTGTGTAAGTGGTACAGGAAGATTTGAGCTCAGATGAGGCTGACTCCAAATCCTTACCTACAGCATACTAAGTAGATGCTGACATTTATTTTCTCCCGGAGATGCTATGTCAGGGTGGCTTGGGTGTCAGAGAATCCCTGGGGCCCATGATTATTCACTGTTCAGCTCTGAGGCTCCTCCAAGGTAGCCCTAGTGGAGCAATGAGGCCATGTGTCAGCACCTAATCCCTGAAGAGTGTCCACAGATTGCACTCATTTCCTAAACTCTCTGCTGGTGAGTAGAGGGCTCAATCAGGTGCTTGGGTGAGTTGCAAAGCAAGGAGGGAATGACCAGCCTTCTCAGTACTATGGGCACCACCAGCACAAGGCTGGCCTTCATCGTGGACAGACAGCCCACTGACTGGTGGCTCTTGAGGCCTACAAACAGGCACATGAATTGGCGAAGGAATGGCCATGTCTCTCAGCCACGGTCCATGGAAATGAGGGGTCAGAAGACAGAGGACCTGACCCTGGGCCTGCTCTTTCAGACCACTCCTCTGCCACCACCACTTACATCCAAGGTCCCTTGGAACACTTGCACTCAAGATTCCTCGTCACTTCATAGACATCTGTGCCAGAAGGTGGGTGAAACTCTCTACAGAGGCCTCTCAATCAGATGCTCCCCCTAAACCTGGCCAGCTCCCCAGAGTGAACTTAGGAGGCAGCTAGGGCAGGCCTAGCTCTTACCATTGTAGGAGAGGCGAGGTTTGCTCAGACACATTATAAAGTGCATTTCCATCTCATCGGAAGCCACAGACTTGGAGCAAATGGGGCACTTGAAACCTGAAAGACAAGAAAATAGAATGAAATTATGGTCTTCAAACCTAGAATAGCCATAACAGGTGTGGACATACTCAAGCAACAACAGCTGCATGGACAAAGACAATTTTGATAGACCCTAGACCCATCTCATCCTTCATGAAGCCACTGAGATTGTGCCTTTTTGTCACAGCCTTTGGCTCCCAGCTTTCACTTGGGCTCTCCCTGTAGTATACCCACAGTAAACATTTAACAGAGGTCATTTACACCTGATTTGAGTTTAATTTTCTTTTAGATCTTTTCTCAGTAGTGTTTAGGAATAGGGAGGCAGCAAATTATGACAGCTGAAACAATCTGTCTTTGAATAATAGAGTTTAATGTCCTTCTCCCTTGCCGCATTCATACCACTTGGCAGGATCATCCTTGGGAGGAATTGGTACAGTCATCAACACCTCCAACCCTCACCCTGCTCTGCCTCCTCATCTACTCCTCACCCTGGTAGCACCTCCGTCCTTCACCCAGAACCCTTTGCCTCCCTTGTGGCTTAGGCAGCTGGCTTGGAGAAGTGTGTAAGCGGTGGGGTGGTCTGCCAGTCAGCATGCCCCCAAATGCCACTAAGCGAAATAGCTGTCTCCTGGTGCCAGGTGAACACAAGGTATGGTGCTCTGCGGTTTTATTCCCAAGGAAGTTTAGACTGCTTACACACCCAGTGTCGAGTCAGTACGGGTTGAGAATCCTGTTTCTATTAAGCAAATCTAATTCTTTGATCTATTTTTTAAAATATAATACAGATGAACCTCTTTTTTTTTTTTTTCCAGACAGAGCCCTGCTACATAGCCCAGGCTGGCCTTGAACTAGTGGTGAGCTCCTACCTCAGCCTTCCAAGTGCTGGGGTCACAGGTGTATATCATTACACTTGGCCAGATGAACTATTTTCAGTCTTTTCCATTTTACTTTTATTGACATGATTTTCAAATGGGTCAATTCTTTTCCATGTAAATTCTACCAAAAAAGATCCACTGCCATTGAAAAGCTATAGGTTTACCTGTATCATTTGTGCACATCACAGCTTCTCTCTTTGTGACTCCAATCCCTACCCTATCTGGACTTTCCCAATACAGCACATCTAACTACTGTGGAAAGATTTCATTCATTAATTTTTAGTACAAATTTTCATACACGGTACTGATGCTGGTAATGACTGTCTACAACATTTCTTATGAAGCAGATAAAAGGCAAAGAGCTTACTTGACCGTTGCCAGTCCCAGGACAGAGGAGAGACTTCAGAGTTCACACCTTCTCCAGTGTCCCTCACATGGCTGCCTTGCTAATCTGTTTGGAAAGCTGTGACTTGAGGCAGGACAGCACTGAGGCAGGAAGGGAGCCAGCAGAAGCATATGCTTAAAGTCTCAAATCCTTTTTCCCCCCAGTGACAATGCTTTGAACTACAGGACCAGACAGAAAAGTTAGGGGCTGGTTAATGATGGTCACAGTGGATACTTCTTTTTTTAAAAAATGGGGTCTTGCTATATGGCCGAGTCTGGTCTCAAATGCACAGCCTCAAGCGATCAACCGATTTCTAAAGTGGACACAACCCAGTGGCATAGTCCTCACTCCTCTGACGCTTTTCCTCAAAGAACCACAGCAACTAAGCATCTCAGCTAAAACAAGTCTTGGAAACAGTATCAACCCGGGGACCCTCGCCAAGCTTTGAGAAACGGCTGTATTTCAGGCATCTGTCTGGTCAGAAGTCCATTAGTAATAAAATCAGAAGACTGAGAAGAAACATGCGGATGGGAAGGGGGTTCATTCCTGGGTTTCTGGCAGAGCTAGACCTAAAATATATCAAGCTGCTTCTTTTCTTTTTCTTTTCTCTTTTTCAAGTCAAGGTCTTGCTATGCAGTTCAGGCTAGCCTTGAATTCATGGCAATTCTCCTGCCTCAGCCTTCCAAGTGCTGGGGATATAGGCGTGCACTACCATGCCTGGTGCCAAGCTTCTTATTTTCTAACTCAGTTTAGAAATGTGCAGATCCAATGCCACACACATGATGGAGAGATGAGGAATGAACCTGAGACTCACAGAATAAAGATGGCCTTCATTTCTCACCTAAGTGCCTCTGTGTTCACAGTGTTTTCCTTTGTTTTCCAACTCAAAAGACCAAAGTTGTGCAACATTTTAAATGGTTCCAGGATACTTGTACTTTGAGCTTGCTAAATCAAAACCCTGTAGACAGGCTGTGGGGCTGTGACAGCACAGATGGATGTGCTCCAGCGGAGGCACTCCAACCCCAGGCCCCAGCATGTTCACTGTGAGGTGTTCAAATCAGCTGACACCAGAGAAAGCATTACCTCTCACATGCTATGTACTTTCTTGATAACTCAGAACACAGTCAAGGTTATTTTCTGAGTTCCAGAGAAGGGGTCAAGTATATTATAGCTAAGGTGCTGGCAAGTAGGCCACCTAACAAGGTCTACAAGGGAATGTTACTGGATGTTTGTGTCTGGGGGAAATAGAGTGAGACTCAAAGACTCAGAGGAGCCCCCTCATTGCACAGAGAAGGGAACAGGCCACAGTGAGGCCTTGGAATCATACAAGGCCACGTGACTCACGTGGTGTAGCTGAGACTAGACTCAGCCTTCTTAACTCCAAGTCTAAAGTTCTTTCCATTGGGGAAGAGGTGGCCACAGGGTTTTAAGAAGAGGCTGGGAAATGTTTCCTCTGGAGAGGAAGTGACACCACAGAAGAGACCTGTGCCTTAGCTAAAGCAGCGCTAATGCCTCTGGGTGCTCTCCTTTGAGTTACAGTATTTTGTAAAGGCTCATGTGACACTCAGGGCATATTATGTCTGGGAAATGGCAAGATGATCAGGCTTTGTTAGCCTCAAGACCCTGGCAAGTTATCTACCTTTCCCTGGACCTTAGTTTCTTCATCTGAGAAATGGGGGAAACTCATCTTACTCTAGCAATGATTAAATGAAGTAAGAAACATGTGAGCACTCTGAAAAGAGGCAAATCAAATACAGGTGGTGTCATAATCAGGCATGGTGGCACAGTGGCACTAAATGAAGAGGAAGAAATGGGAGAGCTAGAGGATGGATGCATTTAGGTGGACAGGGGCTAGGGTGATATACCAACAGGAATCTGAGCAAGCCACAGGCCATGTAAAATCTGCTGGCTGTCGCCAGTAGCCACCTCTCCGCTGGATTCCACGCTGTTTTCTTTGAACTTCTAGAGCACTGTACACAGTTACTGTCACCTTTCATATTGCCAACGTGGAAACAACAGTCTCTATTTAACCTCTACAGCACCTCCTCTTGTATATGAGAATAAATATTGGTTTGCATTTATTGACTCAATTTTATGGATAGTCACTATGCTTTACAGGTCTTCTCATTTATCACAGCGTAAGCGTAAGACTATGTACTACCATTTACGATTTCACAGACCAGGATACTGAGGCCCAAAAGGTTAAGCAACCTTTTCAAGGTTAATGTAGCCAGAGCCAGAGCAGGGACATAACAGCCACGGAATCTGACCACAGAGCCAGCACCATATGGTGCCACTGGCTGACTAGCAAAGGAGGAAGAGCTACATGGCAAAAAAGAACACAGACCAGTGTCTTAAGAAATATTCATTTCATATCTTCTACACTGTCCCAGCACTACTGAAGTATCTGTGGTTCTGGTTAATCCTTTTATCTAAAACAATGGATACTTTTTTCCTGGGAAATCCATTAATTTGGAAGGACAGAGTTCTACTTTCCACTTGGCATTGAGCCTACAGCACTGGGTGTAAGACGCTGAGTTTGCAAATTACTTTTTAAATGGAAAATAAAGGGCAAAAGGTAAGAGGCACAGAAAAATATAGAGAGCTAAGGGGGAAAAATAATGACCCTATCTTCTTTCCTGAAAGGTCATCAGATGAACAAGATGTATTCTACCACTCTACTGCTCCAATTTGTTCTCACAATTATTCAGTGTTGATTCAGAACCAACACCCCTACAGAAAAATAAATACTGTGATATTTATTATGAGCTATCTGAAGGTTAAAATATCTAGAAAATTTTTTATTCCATTTTGGAAAGAAGTCTGCACCAGATGAAAAGCAGTCCTGCAAGCAAAGATAAACAAATGGTCTGCAGTCATCTAATCCACAGGATCTGTCAAACTGCCTTAGAGGCCTCAGCAGCACTTGGGCAGAGCGGATAAAAGAAGCTTTATTTTCCTTCAAGAAAAAGCTACAGGTAGGCTCTTCTGGATGTTCTCTGTTTTCAGACTGGACTCTAACTAGCTAGCTCACCTGGGGCGTGCAGGTGTGTGTGTGTGTGTGTGTGTTTCTCCAAGGGACTTCATCCACCTGCCAGTGTCCTGCGTGAGTGTGACCTTTAATCATGATGTGTCAGCTTGACTGGATTAGTAAGTGCCCAGCAGATGAGTAAAGTGAAGTTCTGGGTGTGTCTGGATAACTGACATCTAGGCCAACAAACTAAGGGAGAAAGACCCACCTCAGATGTGGGTGGCACCAAATAATAGGCCTGTAGCCTGGATGGAATGAAAAAGGGAAAGAAGGAAGTGTCCTCATTTTTGAAGAGTGCTAGTCTTTGTCACTACCTTTGGACATCAGTCTTCAGTTTCTTCAGCCTTCCAACACAGACGCTCACTGGTGACTCTATAAATGGAGTTTCCAGCCCTTTGACTTTGGACTGGTGTTACATGCTTGGTCCCTCTTGTTCTATGGCTTTCATATTTGTGGGCTGAGCTGATCCTCCAGCTCTCAAGTATGCAGAAAGCCACTGAAGATTCTTCTACTTTGGATCCCACAGACCCCATAGACAGCCACTGTAGCTTCTCCCACCTCTGATCCTCAGATGATCATTGTGGACTTTCCTGCTTCTGATCCTGTAAGCCTACTAAATCCCATATGTGTGTGTGTGTGTGTGTGTGTGTGTGTGTGTGTGTGTGTATACATATATATATGTATATACATATACATATATATATGGACACATATATATATATATTTT